GTTACACACTTACACTTTTAAGTTAATATCTAGTTATAGAATTGTATTTCGTTATAAATTATTTAATGTCAAATAATTATTTACGTACCGACAATGTGATCGAAATATCGGGTTTTGACGTGCTCGTCTCCCACATATTTGTCTACAATTACGTTCAACCAGTAGTCAGTAAGTACGTATGACGCAAAAATATTGACTAGAATAGCGTACGGTACATAGATCAGAGCTTGGTAGTACATCATTGCGGTCGATTTGGCGGGCGAATGATTTGCGTACTACAACAACCACATGTTGCTTGACGCAGTGAGTACAACTTACTGAGTACTAAACTATTGATTCATCACTCACGGCACAAAGGCCATGGATAAAATCTTAAATGCTATGTTATAATGAATTATGACTTATGAGTTATGAGTCTGTCTACAGGCAACTACAGACTACAGTCGAATCAGTCGATTGGACTATCGTCGTTACGATTTTGTTGTTATCAACGAAATATATTTTTGTTATCAGATATATATTATCATTTATCATCTATCACAATTCTTAGATAATTCCGTGAACATTAGAGTTATTAGCACGAACTACTACACGGAGTTCTGAGACCGTGAACTTAAATATAGAGGACTGGACACGACAATAAAATATTGTTACCTCAAAGTATATACAGTGGTGGAGTTACGGGTGGTTTTTTTCACCTTGTTGCCGCACTAACGCTATCTAGGTGATACAATTTTGTATTCCATTTGTCATATTGAATATTTATTGACATATTGTCATAACTCATAAGTCATTACTCATTTGTTTTATTATAATATTTATTATTATGGTAGGTTGATTTTATTTTTGTCTTGCCGAAAACATTGCATACATTATAATATTTAATTCTTCGATTCCAGCACGAGCTACTTATATAGCTTATGAGGAATTCTTGAACTTTTTAATTTTTAGACCTACCGACATTTTTTTAATCAATATTTATAGAAAAAATCTAAAATCTCACATTTCTATAAATAGCTTAATAGCCATCATAATATTTTGAATTTTACACCACGTATAAAATATGCTATTATGAACATTTGGTGAAAATATTAATCATCTACGGTTATTTGTTTTAATAAAATAAATCCTTATGAGTTATAACTAATGTAAACAACGCGTTTGTAATTCGATATCTATCTCTGCTGATAAGTGCTCTGCTTCGATAGCTTTTTGGACTATAAAGTCAATAATGTATACAGTCATTAAAAAAACCTTAAAAAACTATAACGATTAAATAAATACTTAGATGTTGTTTGGTAGGTACAACATGAGTTTAAATGTTCAAAACGATTTTTATGTAAAAATTAAATATTTTAAATACGTAAATACTTTTCAAGAAAACGAGGATATAACTTAAAAAATATCACTGTATATACTACATTCATTTAAGTAAATATTGCTATTAAACCTAATTTATCATGATTATTCATGCATAGCCGTGTGGGTATAGTGTGGCCGTATATAGAGGCACATTTAATAATATATTGTGTACACTGTACATCATAACAGTCAGACGGGATTGCTTTAAACACGCTGAGACATTTAAAATTCAACACAAGTCACGAAGAGTGAACAGAAAACACCTAAACAGAAGGCATATATCGGTGAAACTTCAATTTCATTGTTTCGGTTTAACTCTTGTAGCAATATATGACTTGTGTATAATATCTTTCTTTACCATATAGTGAAAGTAACAGAAATAATGAACTAATGTAATCACATATTATGAATAAGGGTATATTATTCCATGAATTTGCATGTTTTTTCTTTGAGGCCCAATTGATTGGTTGTCAGATAAGTCCACGATTTGAATTAATCTTGATTAAATAGATCGATTTTTTTGCATATGTTTACATATTTTGAACATAAGGTATAACATGGTAGTATTGTAATTCGGATATTCACAATCAGGTGAATTTTAAATAAACGTTTATAAATATTGGGTTATAATATGCCGAACCGGACGAGTGCAATCGGCTGCGCGTTTGTTTGCAGAGACGATCATCCAGACGACTGGTTTGGGCCCGACCACAACGGCCGGTCAAGCGACTGGACGATTGGCGTGCGGGGTGGTTTGTGGCGCGATTTATGCGCTCGACGATTGGCAGGTGCTGAGCCGCCGAGGACGACTGTTATGATGTAGACGGCGGAGACAAAAGCACTGGGCGAGCGAATACAGCTGTGATTGCTGCGGAATCGATGGACACCGGAGGCCGGTGCGACCACCACTGGGCAAAAAGCGCGATCCGGATACTTCCGTGATTTTTGTCCTGCAGTCCCGGCGGCCGAGTCCACGACCGGCGGCCGTCCGGAAGTCTAGCGCCGCCGTACCCTGAAACTCATAATCGAATTTCCGCAGGTCCGGCGATGCTATGACTTCTAATTCTTAGCCTTGCCCTATCACTCACCCGCCTTGTTTTAAAGCCTCCACCGTCGCTGGCACAATTCGCCTTCGTGCACGCTCTGCCATCGTGGGAGTACGTGGAATCAATGCCCACGCCGCGCCGGTACAACTAGCCGCCGCGCCGTGTCGTCACTCGTAGTACGTCACTATACAAGAGCGTCCGAAGCAGCCGGGCCCACACCGAGTCGCCTGATAGTCTGGCCAACAAGCGGCCCCAACAACCACCAACCACGTCGCTCCGCGAGTGGCCAGGAGCGACATATCGCCTTACACCGCGTGCTCTTTCCCGTGTCAATCCCCTACGTGTGCCGCTGTCTTGCCTGCTGTGCTCCTCGGCCGAGGAGGAGGGAGCCTTGAACTCCGAGTCACTCCCCACGGAGGCAATCGCACATCAGAAGACGGGTCACCTGTCTCACACCCCTCCAGGCGGTGGCTGCGATCCTCCGTGATCGCCCGCCCGGAGGTTTGCAGCATGTCTTTGATGGCAGATGCTACGGTTCACACGGCTCCTCCACTTTAGCTTCGGCCTCCGCCGGAATGTCTTCGTCTAACACTATTAAATCGTCTACTGGTTCATTTGCCTGCTTTTTCGATCCGACGTCCAACATTGCATCTTGCCCAGACGATGATATCGTCTAGAAGAGACGACACGACCTCGTCTAATGATTCCACTTCGGGTTAGGTTATGCATGACGTCGTCGGTTGTATCTTCTACTTCTACTACGTCGATTGAATAGCACAATATGCAGCCATGCAGGTATCTTTTGTTTGAATGGTACGAGTTTCTCCTGGTTGGTTCGCTCTATCTGGTTCTGGTTCTTGTTCGACCATAATGACTCTCAACATATCTCCGTTTTCGAGGTTGGTGTTATCCCCAGTTTCCGGTGTGGCTTTATTTTTGTCCTCCATTAATATAGCAGATATGCTCATTATATCGCCGTAGATTTCACTCATGATCGATTTGATTTCGGTATTCATGCTTAATAGGGTATTTTTGGCAGTGAACTGTATTGCGATGAGTGGTCGGAGACTACATTTGTCAGTGAATTAAAACAACAATCTCGTCTTAAACAGTCCACGAAAAATTAAAATATCCTTACGGCGACGTCGTTTATTATAAGTTATAAGTTATAACTTATAACCAACCAGCGGGTAAGACCGTCGTCGTTCTTAACGGCCGGCGTTCGGATTTCGGGCAAGCTTATTTTTCCAAATATTTAGTTTTTGTTGATAGATCATAGATACACACTAAAACGTGTAAGTACCTACTATATTTTAACGACGATCGGTGTTTCGATTTGAATTTATACTAGTTTTGTAGGTAAAGTATTTTAGATGCTGGGAGGAACGGTATGAATATATTTATTTTACAAGATTTTGAGTTTTTTTCGTGCGTGTATATATGTTTTGCAATAGAAAAAATATTTTGGTATTCAATTTTATTGGTGATTTTTGACAGCTTTTGTAGTTATTTTATACTTTTGAACGGTGAATATACTCTCCTGTTTTTTCGAACCTACAGGTTATCTATTATCTGCAGTCAGAACTTAGAAAAGACCAATAATTTAGTGTGGTTTTAATATTATTCTGCATGTTTAAGTATCATATTTTATAAACTTAAGAAATGGATCTTAGGTTTTCCTATAATTTTTTTTCATATTCCGTTCCTTTTTGTAGCAACCAACAATATAATATTGCTACGAACACCCAAGGGTGATCAAATTAATACACCAATAATACCATAATAATTATTATGCATATTATAATAAAAATTATATAAAAATTATTTAGCATAACTAAAATAATAAAATATATTATATAATAAATATTTATACATAATAATAACATGTTTGCGACTCCCCTTTAAGCAATTACCTTTTTATCATTTGCTTATGTTTATTTAAGTTTGAATCAAGTGCAATACGAAGTAGGTACAATACTAAATGTTTTATATTAAGTGATATTTAAAAAAAAATAAAAATATTTAGCAAACAAAAATATCATCAAGACTAGGTAATTATATTGTATAATGAATAAATTCTATCTTTCATATTTTTATTTTCACATCAAATATAGGTAGTACCTATTTACCAACGTTTTGACATAAGACTGGAAAAAGTACGTTTAGACATATTCTGATGACTCCAATCCACTTCTCCATGTTTTTTATATGATTATTGATTAGTTATTATGTTAAACTCAATTTTGTAAATTTTAGTAATAGGTAGGTAGGTACATGGTACATAGTACATTTTGGTTTTCATCTCTTATTACCCCGCATACTTAATATTTTTGTTGGATTTCGGTTAACAATGACATTTTATAAGTTGTAATCAACGATTCTGTACAAAAATGACACTATGACAGTTACCTAAGCTACCTAGCGTAATAACCAGTAAAATTCTCCATTTCCATGGTTGACAATTCAGCAAGTTGTTCTCATTATTAAACTTAAAAACTATTATTAGGAGGTATATTGTAGCATCGTCTAACCTGTTTTTATAATTTTAATTATTAAACTATTAAGTATTAATGGTATAAATAATCAACTTACAGTAGGTATTGAATTGAAATTCCTTTACTTTACTTAAAATCACCACGGACTTGCCCATAGATGGCAGAATCTGTCCTTATATCCTTATAACAGTTACAACTGTGTCACCTGATGTGAATAAATATTTTTTTTTGAGTAATTTATATCCATTGATCATGTTCTTAAACCTAAAATTTATTGAGATACACAAAATAGTAGATACAGGCTTATAGGTTTTTGCAATTTTCAAAAAAAATGAGAATATTTGGTTTGTCTTCAGCAAAATGTTGACACACAATGTTTAATCGATTTTCCACTGTTTGTTTTTCTAACTTTCCTAATGTACCTTCAATTTTCATCAAAATACCGTAGTAGGTACTAGGTAGACTTTTTCCATTATATCATTCAAGGTTACGACTTGAGTTACACCGGTAAGGAATATCGCCGATTTATGCACAAGGGTGTGTTTCTTTACTACATGGCAGTATGGCAGTATGGCACTATAGCAAACGAAAAAAAGTCGCCACCGAGGTTCCTTCTGTACTCGTTATATACTTATATAGTTATATGGGTGGGGTAGAGGTCAGCTCGTCGCCAAGTTAAACATCTGTCTCGGTCTTAGTTGTATTGCTTTAAAAACATATTGTTCTTGGGGACTAAACTTTTCGATATCATGTAAATTAATAATATAATATATTTTATATGTACAATAATATTTACGACATATTTTGACTAATTTGAAGTTATTTATACCATGGCCTTTATTAACACCTTTACCATAATACGCCATAAGTCGGTGTTGACATATTGGGTAACTATAATAGGTCTACTAACATTGAGATGAACTTGAAAATGTATTCAATGCATTACCTACATAGCATTGAATGCAGAAAAGTCAATGAGCAACATATTTTCTTCTTCAAACAACACTCTTGTTTAAGACTTTAATGCCAACCCAGTGTCCAGGGAGTATCCAAGTAGACGATTTTGCAACATAGTGTCTCTTTCATTTTTAAATTTACTCTGCATATTACCCCTAAACAGTGTACCCTAACAAGAACGGAAATATTGTCTGTAATCAATATATTGGGTGAAAAGTAGTTCGAACCTATAACCATCTATCTTTGACTAAAGAGTATACATATTATTAAATATAACTCATAATTTATTATTTCAATGTATTATCTATTTCATACTATATTTTATCGAATTAAAAAAAATATTTTGAATTATTCTATCTTTTCTCTAACACATCAATGCACATACAATCAATATGTATGTATAGAACTAAACTATAATTTTCAACTATTATTATTTTAGTTTGACATCTATTCAATTGAATTTTAATTTATAATAATTTATAAATTAATTATTACACATTAGTGACAGTCACCAAAATATCTACAAACTTAAATAAGGTTAGGGCTAATGAATTAAGATGAACACAATATATTATTCAAAATTGTTTATTAATGTACATAATAATTGTTGGTATAAAAATCTACCAGTATATAAATATAATAAAATTGTTATTCTCAGTTTATATTATAAACCTACTACCATAATATACAAATGTTTGGATTCTAAATATTATTTAATCATTAAATAACATTTTACAAACTCAATGTTCTTCCCCCTGTACAATGGTCACTGAATATGATTTTATTTGGTGTATTTTATATAAATTGCTAATAGCTGAGTTATTATTTGTACATACAATATAAAATTTATTTTGCTAAGGAATGGAAATGCCCATACAGAATAATCAAAATACAATTTTCATATGGTTCACCTAATTTTAGTGAAATAATTACTTTTTAACTAATACAAATAATGACATAGCTTCACCAAAGTTAATTAAATCATTTATGTTGATACTAACAGATATAAAATATTACCCATGGGAACTGGATAATTTTTTAAACAATATAAATCTTTATGGTTCAAAGATTACTAACTGTGCACCTCTCTCTCTCTAATCAGTCAAATATGTTGTCTCTAAAAGTATTTTATACAATATTCAATTTTAAAATAAAGTTACCTACCTAACCTAACCTAATTAATCCTATTCAGAATAGCTACCTACAAATAAAAATTTAGAAATATAATATAATATGTCTCTATATAACTTGGGTAAAGTTTTTTAAATTTTGAAAACAAGTTATATTTTCGATTAAAATTATAAAACAGGAAGACGTTTAAGGTGATATGTCTACACTAATAGTAACAAATATAGTATTTTAGTTGTATAGAAATTATATAATATTAAATCTTAAAATTTCAAAAATAAAATTGAGTAATAGCATAGTTAATTGTGGTTACCTATTAAAATAATATATAAGATTCATAAGGCTGATTCCAATCTACATCAGTTAATAATGTTTAGGTGAGATGAAGATAGCATCAGCCATACAGCTAAAATTGTAAACTAATTTTAAATTAAAACGTAAGAGCAAGGAGTGAATACAATTACAATTGGTGTTATCTTTTTTACAGACTAACATTGACAGATTTAGTAAGATACAAATAAGATTACAATTTTTTTTGCTATTTGAATCTTAAACTCACAGAAACAAAAAAGGAACATAAAAATTGTCTTTTTTGATTGGATGGAACAAATGTAATTTTGTTTTGACAATTAGGGCAAGTACAGAACTTAATTCTTATAAAGAATTAATTGATTTATTTAATCATTGAGACCTTGTCTTTTTTCTTCTTCTAACATGGCATCTAATTCATCAGTTAAATTTGCTAACATGTTTCCAATATCATTGAGTACATCTGCTGGCTCCTTCTTCCCACTGTCATAAAAATATAAAGCAAACCTTACATATAAATTATATTTTGCATCTAAATCAATGTATGTATACATATAACTGACAAATTAAATGAACAATGAAATAATTTTTGTTCTAAATTTATTATTATTAATAATTATAAGTGATTAGTTTATATTGTAATAGTTGAAATATAAAAATGTACATGTTAAAATCTCATTAATAATAATAAAAAAAGCGGGTAAATGAATGTCCCTCTGCTGTACATTAGGTGTCTAGGAGATCGCTGTAATGGATGGTATTAAATTTAAATTCAATGATATCATATCATTGTATATAAAAAAACGATTCTGAGAGAAGACGGTATGTCAGTTCAGGATAATTTATATTGTTATTACTTAGTATTAATATGGTAGCTGGTAAGTTTAATTAATATTATTCTTAAATTATCAGTGATGCTGAAAAAATATTAAATATACCTATGTGAAATTGGGTTGTTTTGGAACCGAATTACAACAGAATGATAAACATTATTCTTTGTGTTAATATGCAATTTTGTCAAAATTTGAACTTTAAATGATGATAAAAAAAATTGTGACTTTGAATTTTTAATATTTTTCAACTGCTATTGTAATAAGTTATCAAGAGTCTTTTTGTATTACATTTTCATGCTTTTTGACCCAACCAATAAAATTTTAATAAAATTTATAGAAAAAAAAAAAATGAAATTTGAAACTGTCTGTCAACAGCTTAAAACGAGTCAGAATATTTTGAAAATCTTATCAAGTATATGAATTGACGAAATAAACACTTGGTGTAAATTTCAAGTGTCTACAGTAATTCGTTTTTGAATTACAACAAAATAAGAAAATCGCAACAAGAGAAATCGAGTGAATATCGATAAATATATTATATTAATGTTGTAAAAAATGCCTTCTTCACTACATTTACATTTGTTGTTTTTATAGTTATAGCAAGTAAAAATTATAAAATATCAATATTTGTTTTTACCTTGGAGGCATTAACGAAAATTGACTTGTTGTTGAGTGCATTGAGTAACTTGAAGTAGTATGCATAGAATGATCAGCTAGCATAGGTTGAATTAATTCTAAAATCAAACACAGTGAAAAATATGAAATTACTTGAAATAAAACAAATAAATGTTAGAGACCAACCATTTGTAGATCTGATCGTTCTCTGTTTAATTGTGCCAGCATTTTCATTGGCAAATGGAATAGTATCTGATTCAGTACTAGAATTCGACTATAAAACAATATTTATTTATAATTTTATATTGATAGTTACAAAATACACATAGTGTTTAAAAGATAAATAATTTACTTTAAAGCTTGCATTTGATCCAATATGATCCTCTAAGTTATGTTTAGGAGACATATTATCTGCAGTCCATTTGCCCAAAGTTTTAGATTGTAAAGTTGGAATACAATGCAGATCGGCAACAACAGTTACTTGATGACACTTTTTATTATCTTCACAAGACTGTTGGCGTTTAGGCGGTGATGGTGGTCTACGTTTCAATGTATTTAATCCTGAACAGTCTTCTCTGAAAACAAAATACATATTATTTTATTTATGTGAATATTCAAAAAAAAATTTAGTATAATTTTTTGATCTTACATATTTTGTTGAGTGAATAAAGCGGGAATTTTAGCTACTAATCTTGGCTTAACTAGTCCTCTTGGTCTAGGTAATGTACCACCACATTCATGAAGAATAGATGTTTCATTTGTCGGTGTTAAATCGCCATCTTCAAAACTCTTTTGCTGATGTCTCCACTGTGGAGGACCAACAAAACTACTTGTACCTCCAGTTGTTGAGTTTATATTTTCATGTAGACTTTCCAATGATTTGCCACGATGAGTTCCTCTAAGCTAAAATTAAAATTAATATTAATAAATAAACATTTAGCTTGAAATATTATTAAGAAAAAATCAAATGGGGAAATAATAATTCTTTACCGATTCCTGAAATTCGAGTGTCCAGTTCGAATCCGGAGTAGGTCTAGGGGACTTAGTAAATTGACAAAAGCTCAGAAATTGATAAAAAGCAACAAGACATAGACATGATGATAGCAAATTATAATTTATAAAATAGATACCTTGATGGGAACAATATCTGTTTGGCAATATAGTTGTTTGCTACTCTCTAATTCCCAAGGTTGATGAAAGCTGTGATATGTGGCATGAACACGTGGCAAATCAAGTTCAACACTGCCCGTACCGCAACTTATGTTAGTGATACTCGTTCCACATCCAGAACTGCTGCTTACAATGCTTAATGGCGACTCGATGCAGGCCTTTTGGATGCAATTAATGGTTTAAATAAAAATGAATGCAAATTGAAAGCATTGAAAAAAATAAGAATGTAGTCATGCAAAATAAAATATAAACCATGCTTTTACAAGAAACAAAATTTAAAAAAAAACAAGGAATAGTTTTTAGTACTTACATTCCTACTTTCATAATTCATAGTGCCACATTGTTTACTATATAAATAAAATTAAAACAGTTTGGCCACTAAAAATTGTATAAGAAAATAAAAATCTAAGGTAAATTAAAAAACAAATATGGGAAATGCAGTGCAGTGTTTACATTATTAAAAATAAAACATATACATCTTCCAAGTACTTAGGTATATTTAAGAACATTTAATCTGGGCAATAAAATGTTTTTATGTGAAATTATTAGATGTGTGGCATGGTTTATAAAATATTTTAAATTTGATACCAAGATGTGTTTCATTTTTAATAGTATCAACCAATACAATTTTAATAAAATTGATTGATTTAATTTTATAAGAGCTACAAAATTACAAAATAATAGTAAAATTTATTTGGATATCTACATAGTGATATAACTAATTTCCAAATAAAAATTAAATATAAAATATTTTTAAATAATTTGAAATTTAATAAAAATTGTTGGTGTTTTTTTTAAAAATAAAAAGATAAATTAGGTTTTGATTTATTTATTTTTTTAGAAATATTTTTAATATCAATATTTTTAAATTTATAATTTTTACTCACTTGAGTTTGAATAATATATGGTGAATGAGGAACAAATGATTTTCCTGCCTTAATATCCTTTACTCGTTTAATTGCTAGTAATAATCTTTTTTGATGCCCAAGCTTTACTATTCCAATGTCTTCCAAGTCTTCCCATGTTAACTGAGTTACATCATCTATTGTAGAATAACCTTGAGCTTCTAACGCTGATCCATACTCTTCAAGTCTTAGTAATCTAAGCCATTCATCTAATGACCCCTAAATAATTTCATTCACAATATTAATAATAAAACAAATAAATCTTAAATATACTTAAATACAACATAGATACTTACAGGAATGTAATCTAATAGTCCATCAGATATATTTAGTAAGCCAATTTCGGCTTTTAATTTCTTTCTATGATTTGGTTTCTTTACACCAATAGCAGTTAAATCCTATAAAATAAAAATAAAATAAGAATATAGGTAATAAAGTGTTCTATTATGTATTAAATCAATTATTTCGAAATAATGATGGATTAATCTATTGACTATTTTTTATTGCTTCTATCATTATATAAGACATATATCTATTTAAATTAAATTTATTGAAGCCAATTATTTCAAAATGCTATTAAAATTGTTAAAGTTGTAGAGTTAAAATATAATGAAATTATTATTTGTAACTTAATATAAATGAAGAAAAATAAAATAAAACGAATAAACATACTCTATTTGTATTACTGACAACATATTTTATTTAATAGGTCTTTCAAAAATATTGTACTGGCATTTAATATTTTTAACTTTTATAAGTTTGAAATATAAAATGTATAAATTAACTTACTTCTGGTGTCATTTTTGAAACTGTTCTCATATCATATCCAGCAGATATGAACAATGGTAAATATTCTTCTAGATGTAGATCAACTAGCCAACTGTACATTATATCTTTATCCTATGAATAAATCCGGATTAATATCAAAATTAGTATTAGTACTTTATCAAAATAAAATACATACTGGAACCCCTTGATGGAGAAGTCTTTCCACCCTAGTAGATGGACTAAGTTCTGGATGCCAATGAGTATTTCCTCGAAGATGACACCCTGAAGCACGACCACTATCTAAACTTGCCGTTGAGTGACGAGATCCTGAACCAGAACCAGATGAACCAGGACTATCACGACCAGGACTTTGTGTCATATCAATTCCTTGATCTTCCTGAAGTGATAATTGGTGGTAATACATCTTCATATTTCCACTGGGATGAGAATACTAAGCATAAAACATAATATTAATATGAATGGATAGTTAAGGTTATAAATTATATTAAGATGTTGATTTTATTTACCGAAGTAGATCCTGGAAATGTGAAAGCTGGATGGTTGAACTGTGACGATGGTGATTTATTTCCAATTGGGCAATAAGTATCTGATCCATCATAGATATCTAGATTACAAAATAAATTATTCTCAACTTTAAAACACATAAGTTTTTTAAACGTTTAATTATTATTATGGTCTTGGATCACAAAAAAATATGTGAAGACATTCAGAGTACCTATAATTACTTAAACATATAGGTATATATACATCATTCATAATTCATATTACATTTAGTTTAAAATTAATGGTAGATCATTAATGTTTTTGACTAAAACAGTTAATTACAACACTCTTGTGTATACTGTTTTAAGTAAATTCAGTGCACTTTTTTTTAATAATGTTGTCAACGTGTTTTGTCGTGGTATAAATTTTGACAGTAAGTCTTAAGGTGTATAAGAAAATTGTTTGTACAATTTTTTTTAATTATACCAAGTTAGAATAACCTTGTATTTAAATCTCAAAAGCGAAATAACAATTATATAATAAACAAGTAAGGAAAGCATAATATTCTAACAGAATGTGATTTTTAATGCAATTATTTATTATTTATTACAACATACTAGTATGCTGGCCAGAGGTGAGTAAGTACCTGGTTTTTGCATCCAATTAGGTTATTATTATCATTTTTCTTTTTAACGAATTCATAATAAGTTTCACCATTTTTTGAAATTTGCTAAGAACTTAAGAAAGTTCAAAAATTAGAATTTCAGCTCACTATTTGATTTCATTAGAACCAATCTTGTGCTGTTAGCTTTAGTATTTAAGTGACTTAACCTTTTATAAAACTTAAACTTAAGAACATTATCAGTGTTTGTACGTTGACTTTTTTACAATATTTAAATTTTAATATTTTACATACTAATAACTTATATAAAAATTGAAATATCGTAAAAACGCCAAAGCACAAACGCAGATAACGTTCTAATTTTAAGTTTGATAATAGATAAATTTACACTAATACTAAAGTTAACGACACAAGTTTGATTCTGTTGAAGGCAAATTTGCTAGGTTGCGCGAAGGACAGAGATTGAAAACAAATGTCTGCTGACATCCTCTAAGTAGGTACCACATCCATTCAATGTTTAATTTATACATAATAGATATTACGAAACTTTAAGAGCATATTTGCTTTATAATATGATCAGTTTTCATTAAATGATACGTAAAATAAAAGGTATCCAAACAAATAAATTATAGATTAATATATAAACAATACCTAATAATATCGTTATTTAGGATAATTTTACCTGGTTTCATACAAGTATTTGGATCTAGAAATGCGTCATCGCTGGAGCTACTATATCCTGTTGATCCAAAGCTACTACCTGAATGTCGGCATGCAACTGAATCTGGAATGGCTGGTGGAGGGACTTTCTTTACTTGAGGAACATTTTTCTGAGTTTTGTTCATACTGCTAACTGTAACATCAGTACATCAAATAAATTTAGTAAAAAACATTTTATTACGAAATACATTTTATAATAACACATATTCCATGTACATCTACTATAAAGTAATAAAAGATTTTAAAAGGTTCAGCGTTCTATTAAACAATGGCTCTGATTTTACAAAAGCCAGCTACTACTTATTTGAAACTCAAGCGCTTGTCAGAGGGGAGTTATGTTGTCGAGCCTCATAGAACGAAGTCAAAAGCTTTTGGAGGGTAGTTCAAGGATGTAAAAAATCACTATTCACATAAGCAAAAAAACCTTGATTTATTTATATGCATAAACAATAATGTTATTTCACTGTATTTAGAAAAAGAAAATATATTGTATTCATTAATAATAATTAACAATCATTAACTATTTTATGCCTTTTACTTAATCTTTGGTTTGAAAATTACATAATTTATCTGTTAGATAACTGCATTGGAATAGTATAAACATAATAATATGTTTAATATTCCATTTATTATTTTTCGTTTATATTATATTAATTCTACATAAAATAAAGTATGTTTATAAGTATATAACTATTATCTACAACTTCTAAGACTAAACACAAACAAAATTTAAATATAAATAGTAAGTACTTATAATATTTGTCGAAGAGAGAAACCGACATGTGTTCTAACACACTTTAACATTATACCGCTAGGAATATATTTTATATTAATGAACACATTTTCTTTCTAGTATAACATATAGTTTATATTTTACGTAACTATATAAGTAGGTAGAATATTATTGCAAGCAAAAATTATAATAAATGGATATATTGATTAGATCGAGATATTTTTGAAAATAACACTTAAATACTAAGCTTAATGACCTTGATTTGATTTTCTGAACAGATTTGAACATATGCAAGACCTATAAATAGTATAATATAGTATATTTGATATATAATGTATAATAAACCAGTTTTCTTAAATTGGAAATTTGCGTGGTTGCGAATACAACTAAAATGTAGGTGTTGCACCTTTGTAAAAGAACAAAAAACCTACGTGGGAAGCAATATATAATATACTGTCAATATTTTTTTATACAATGTAGTCTGCTAAATTGTAATATGCACGAATGCAAAATAATAACAAACTCTATGAAACTAAAAAAACGTATTAAGTTATAGAAAACTCTATAAGCGATAAAAACCTTTAAGCAATCAGCATAAATAAATACTTTCAATACTATTTAAATAGTATTTTTAACGATCAGGTTATAGTACGTTAAAAATCTATAAATATAAATTATAGTATAAAGTATACATTCTGGTAACCATGAATGTTTGATAAGAGACAAGATCTTAAACTTTTAGTATACATCCATAACAGTATTCTACGTTAAGCATTATAGAAAACAGATGTTAATTTTGGTTTTAAAACGAAGGGCGACACGTGGTAAGTAGATTCTCAATAAAACGTATTACCTACCTCTACTTATGAAACCAAAAACACACCATATGTTAAGTATGTAATATATACTGTATATTCATTAAATGTTGAATCTAAAATAACATACTTTTTGTACAGATAAATTGTATGTGAATAATAAATAAATGAACCTATTTTATACAAGATCCGCTTAAAGTAAGTAAAAATAAAGTAAATGCCAAATGGTAAGTAATATAGTAGTATATCCATATTGCTCGGTAATATAGGTATATTAAAACAACAATCAATTAAAAATATGGCAACGAAAATGTTATTAATGCATTACATTGTGTAATACACTATAGTTCCAACACAAATATTATATTTTAGTGATTAACGGTCTTTAGATAAAACATTTTGGTAATTAAGGAATAATTTAGTTAATATATAGGTTTATATTATATTATCTGACTCAAGTTATTTGTATAAATCAAATACCTAAAATGTAAGTAATAGGTATTATCAAATATCAATATCAAAAATCAGCGACCAAGTATGATTTAAGATTAAGTACATTTAGTTACAAACCTAGTGATAATGAGAATTGTTTTGAAAAGGGAATTGGCAATTTAAACTGTTAACTGTATAATTAATGCATTTAAAACATATACTTAGGTTCCTATATTAGATTAAGTGTATTAGAAAATATTAAAACAATAAATCATTTAAAATCATTTTTTCTAAATGATTGTTTTTAGCAATAATATCAAGATTAGACGATATCAAACAATGATAGTTTAAATGTTTCGATCGCAAAACAGTATTAACTAGCATTTTTAGAAACAAAAATATGAAAACGTATTATATTCTTAAGAGGACGTCACACCCGCATAATATTACGAGGTCTCAGTTTTTTTCCCACCTTACAAACGTACACTTTGCAAAGTTTTTGTTCAGTAGAACACATTTTGTGATCTTAGTTTTAATATCAAAATAGATCGTTCTATTATGAAGTTTAAAGACAAGAACATAATTTTTACAGTATTTTAATTTTGAAGCAATTTTAAATGAGCATTTTTCAAATTGTAATAATTTACGATTGAATAATTATTTAAAACGTACTCATAACTCACTTAAAATTTGATAATATATCGATTAACTCAAATACTAAAGCTATAACAACACAAAATTGCTATGTTGTACGTTTGTAAAGAGGAAACAGCACACGCAGGTGTGACCGCCCTCAATAATAACTACAATTTAATAGAGTTAAGATACACCAGGATCAGTTATCCATGTATCTGACACATAAAAGATTCATGAACTATAATAATCATACGCTTCTAATTGTTTATTATGTAAACACACACAGCAAGTGTATTATTTTCAATTTTATAATAATCATTGATATACTTTAATTAGACTACTTAAGACAAATCACATTAAAGTTTTGAATCGCCATTATAATTATCGAAAACAATTTTACAATCTAAATAATGATATCGAACTGTTGCTATAACAATAACATCAATAATATTCAATAAATTCTAAAGGCATTATATTAGATTGTATCTTTATTTGTGTATACACCAATTAATATAAATAGGTTAAGCTATATACATTTTAAATATTCTTAAAAAAAAAATTTAATTCATCATACGTTTTCAGAATTTGAGTATTTGATGCAAGGGCATAACATTATTATGATAATTCATATTTTTTGTGACCAAAACACGACGGTAATTATACTGATTAGTCAATAGAACACTAAATTATGGTAAAAAAGTGTTGAAACTATTATTCATCTATTTGTAATGACTAAACACCAACGCTGTATTCAATGATCCGAAGTTATATACTAAAATATGTGTAGCCTGCTAAACACAATTAAAATGATTGCTTGTTTGATACGAGGGGAACATAAAAGACGGAAACACGAGTATGTTTGGACAATGGGCACACAAGATTAAATACAATAATATGAATTATTATTATCGCCCATTCCGTATAATCGAACGATAGGTATAATTTTTTTGTTTTCAGTTGAGTTCTTAAGTTTAATTCATTTGATTTGAATACATGTCGTACGTCCGGGTACATTATTTAAATCGTAGGTACCTACGTGTACATTTTATAATATTATACTTGGTGAAATTTTATTTGAACTATTCAATTGACATCCGACGTTATTACAGGTTAACATAAATATTAAACCTAGTACCTACTATTATTCCGAATCCCAAAAACTAGATGAATCTATTATATTCTATTGTTTTGTTTTATTCTTGTTATTGTATCACTTACTATTCAACAAATTTTTCCAACTTCCACTTAGCGCTCTCAAATACTTGGTAAATCCCTTTGGTTCTGCAGACTCCTGAGACAAAATCGAACCACTTATCGAAGACCCAGCTAAATTTCCATCAGATCGGCTTCTGAACATTGACGTAAATGGTCTTCTGATCTTACTGGAATCTTCAACATATTCGGTTTCGACTAAAACGATATCGTTGTCTTCAAATAAACTATCGAAACTCTCATAAGTGGTATCCATCATGCTTTCTTTTTTGCTATTGCGGCGGACGGATGGAAATTTTCGTATGAATCCAAAAGTTGATTTTCTGTCTTCAGAACTTGAACGATCTAATATTCGTTTTCCAGGTGGTAAGGGTGGATGTGCCCATAAACTGTTCCGTATATCAGACATGATAATCAAATGCTCAATCAAAATACATCCGTTTGACTCGTTTGAACTAAATGTATAAACGATATATGAACGAAATAAGAAGAAAACTACATACAACATACATATGTATCATACATTAGGTAATATTGTATAAAATTAAGACAAATATTAAAGTAGAAAAAAGTAGTTAAAAAGCATGCGCTTAATAGTGGCATAAGGGCGATTTCGTGACCGATTATAGAAAAGACAAAACATAATATTATGGGACTTTTGAAAATAATGATATCATTATTTATCAACAACTGGCGATTATTAATTATTTATTTATTTATCAAAGCACTTACAACAGCGATAAAGTTGTATAGGATTAGATGATATTATGTACTTTGATTAGTAAAATGTATAAAAAATAACATATAAATATAGAGCATACAAACACGTATGTATTATTATAAGTAATAACCATTTATAAAACTATACACTAGACTATACAGTTTATTAACTTGGTTGTTTTCATACCTAATTACATATTAAAATATGAAATACAAAACAGTCCATAACAAGTTATGGTTAAGATTTTTAAAAGAAACTATTGTATAAACGCGTAGAAGAAATATAATTTAATGAGTAGTTATAGTACTTTAGTACTATAGTAATATTACTACAGTATTATAGGTCGATACAATTGGAGTAAACTTATGTGTAGGCTATTTAAGACAAGGTAGGTAAGGCTATGTAGGTATATTATGCACATTCATTATTAGCAATAACGTTTAGTACAACTGCCTACGTTTTATATAATGGACAAATATAACCACGGAATTGCGAGATAAAAAAACTGAAATAGTACCTACAGTTTATAGGTCTATAGACTGTAGAATATGAAATAATTTAATATTTTTCCTAGTTCCGTTAAG